CCTGACATTCAATGCTGATAAATTAAGAGAATATCAGACTTGAGCAATGCCATCACTGATACCATATATGGTGGAACATGCAAAAGATGCAGCATTCACATAACAAATGTTGTTCCTAACTGTTTCCATTATGAGGGTTTTACAAAATTAAAGCTACATATTTGCTTCTAAGGAAAGTGTATTTGTTCACTGTATCCCAAAATAGCTCAGTTTTCAACTGAGTTATAAATAAATATTTGAGATTCGTGCATAGACCACATTGAAAACGTAGCCTGAAAAGGGAAAACATTGTGAAGCCACGTTTATCTGAAAGTAATCACAGTGAGATAATGTATATATCTTCAACTCAGGCAAGAACCGTCGTGCTTTTTGTCATATTAGAAGTGTGGCAGAAATCTGTAATCAGCAACAACAGATGCTATTCTGTGTCTATGTTTGTAAACATCAAATATCCGAAGAAATCTGATAGACGTCAGTAGAGGATTGATCATGACTCATTGGAGCTTGTTCCTCAAATCTGCCAAGACATGAATCTTCTTGTTTGCCTAATAGAATTGATCATTTTTCAATTAACTTTTGTAATATGATTTTAGTGGTAATTCCAATTTATGGAAAGAAAAATTTTCCAAAGAAAATCTCAGAGAAAAGTAGACATGGTATAAGCTAATCCTTGATACACATGAAGCCTGTCTTGCGGTTATTTCTAGATCTTGGTAATTGAGATAGTCCTGGGCAATCATCAGTGATATAAATGGATGCTTTTCTGTTAGATGAGTAGAATTATCCTGATTTAATTAGCTAGTGATCTGGCTTGTGCATATTTATGGCCTTTATCCAATTTGCTAGCAAAGGTTAGTATCTTCTGATATTAGTTACGGTATCAAAGAAAACGCATAGCCCAGACTGAGTCTGATGTTTCTTGCAAGTGCCTGACCGAGAATATGAAGTGATTTTCCAAATGTGAGGCCTAATGGGTTTTGACTAGACTTACGTACAGCACAAAATTAATGATTCAGTATGAATAAGAGTAATTTAAAAGCTCTCTCTTTTGTTTGATATTGAAAATGTATTTGTGCAAGCAAAATCAAATTCTGAGCAGCTCAATTTGGTATTTTGTATTTAAAGTGCATAATAGTAAGCCTGTACCATGTGATTTTGGTTTCTGCCCTTTTACGTAACTGGCTGAGAATTTCAAAACAGGACAATAAAGAATCACAAATAGCAAATGGTTTTTTTATATCAAAATGCCCTTCTATACACACATGAGTCTTTGGGCTGTTCTTTTAAGATAATTTTAAACAGAGGTCTTTTTGTATGTGCAGTATTAAGCAATAAGAGATAGCAAAAGCGCATAATCAACAGTCCAAAATGAATATTAGAGAATAACCTGTATGGACTAACTTTGGATTTCCTGGAAGAGGAAATTTAGCGCTTCTTTTCCCAGTTTTGCTTCCTCCTAATACCTCTTAAATTTATACTTTCCTGGTACACTTTTCTACGGCACATCTTGTTTTTTGTGTGTGAAGAGAACTTCTGTAAATTGTATTCATCTTTTGAGTCCTATGTGGGGAGGGAAAGATGTACCTGTTTCCATTTTCAAATATTTTCTTTTTTCACCTGTGACTGGAAGAAGGCTCTGAATTTAGAAACTGAAGACACTGCTTGCAACTTGCAGCTAGCAGACCAGGATTGAATTTGCTGAGCTTGAGGAAGAAAGTTGAAACAAAATCCGCATCAGTTGCAGGAAAAAAAAACATTCTTGATATGTTTGGTAACTGCAGGAATGAGTTTACATACTTGACAAATGACTCAGATGCAGAAATATCACCCAAAAGGGACTCACCAGGGTCTGCTGACTAATCCCTAAGTTCTTTAAATTATTTTCTTATTTAATCTGGTATTATGCCTACTTGGAATAAAAAAAAATTGGCCCAAATTCAGTGAAACAATTAACTTGAGATAACCAAGTACTTAAATGTTCTTGACATGTTTTTTGCGTATGAAAGACTGATCCAAAGGCTGTTGGGGTTTAAGTTATAATAGCACAGAGTGAGCATTTATGACATGTATTAATTCCACTGCACTGATGACTGAAACCTGCAGAGCTGTAGTCCTAGCTCTTCCACATGTTTCTGAACTGCAAAGGGAAATTATATAAATATAAGGGGATTCAATACACTTTGTATATTTCTTTTAAAAGTGTAAACCCTAGTAAGCTAGTTACCAAATTACCAGATCTCAGTTTTTCCTGGGGAAACAAAGGGAATAAAAGGCATTAGCTCCAAGGAATGAGGTTCTCAGTTTACCACCATCCTTCAGAGGTGATAATAATTAAACACTGTCACAGCTTCCATAGTTCCATGGTAATACCTCCATTATCAGAGTCTTCAAATAAATACTGACTACTTTATGAGCAGCCCACTGTTACTACCATTCACAGAGTTATATACAGAAATGGCCATAGAATCATAGAATGGTTTGGGTTGGAAAGGACCTTAAGATCATCTAATTCCAACCCCCCTGCCATGGGCAGGGGTGCCTCACTCTAGATCATGTTACCTAAGGCTCTGTCCAGCCTGGCCTTGAACAGTGCCAGGAATGGAGCATACACAACTTCAGATACTGGAAGGCTGCTATGAGGTCTCCATGCAGCCTTCTCTTCTCCAGGCTGAACAGCCCCAACTTTCTCAGCCTATCTTCGTATGGGAGGTGCTCCAGTCCCCTGATCATCCTCGTGGCCTTCCTCTGGACTTGTTCCTACAGTTCCATGTCCTTTTTATGTTGAGGACACCAGAACTGCACACAATACTCCAGGTGAGGTCTCACAAGAGCAGAGTAGATGGGCAGGATCACCTCCTTCGACCTGCTGGTCACGCTCCTTTTAATACAGCCCAGGATACGGTTGGCTTTCTGGGCTGCAAGTACACACTGAAGCTGGCTCATGTTCAGTTTCTCAGTGATCAGCAACCCCAAGTCCTTCTCCGCAAGGCTGCTCTGAATCTCTTTTCTGCCCAACCTGTAGCTGTGCCTGGGATTGCCCCGGCCCAGGTGCAGGACCTTGCACTTGGCTTAGTTAAACTTTTTGAGGTTGTCATTGGCCACCTCTCAAGTGTGTCAGGGTTCCTCTGGATGGCATCCCTTCCCTCCAGTGTATCATCTCAATCACACAGCTTGGTGTCATCGGAAGGCTTGCTGAGGATGCACTCAATCCCACTGTTCATGTCACTGACAAAGATGTTGAACAAAACTGGTCCCAACTCTGATCCCTGTGGGACACCACTCATTACTGGTCTCCAGCTGGACATTGAGCCATTGACCACAACTCTTTGTGTGTTGCCATCCAGCCAGTTCTTTATCCACAGAGTGGTCCATCCATTAAATTGATGTCTCTCCAATTTAGAGACAAGGATGTCGTGTGGGACAGTGTCGAACGCTTTGCGCAAGTCCAGGTAGATGACGTCAGCTACTCTACCCATCCATCAGTTCCGTAGCCCCATTATAGAAGGCCACCAAATTGGCCAGGCAGGATTTGCCCTTAGTGAAACCATGCTGGCTGTCACCAATCACCTCCTTGTTTTTCATGTGCCTAAATTGTTTTCATTGTGCCTTTGTTTTTCATGTGTCATGTTTTATTAAAAATCAGATTAGAGTTTCCAGCTTTAATAGCTATGCATTTTATAATACTTTTGATAGAGATAGCAGGAAACATTTACATGGAAGCGCTAATTTTGTGTTAAATTATATAGTGATGTCTGTGAAGTGCATCCAGCTAAAGAAGTATTACCAAGTTGAATATTTTGAGGTACTTTTAAACCCATTTTCAGATATCATTCCTTTTACTAGTGTGCCTTGACATTTACTTGAAACGTGTCCAAATCCATAGAGAAGAACAAAAGCCACCAGCTTCAATTTATCCATCTTCCCTTTTCTCATGTTTCATGCCATCCACCTCTCCAAAATCATTTTGGTTGCTAATTACAGGATTGGCAGACACCGTGCTTCATGGCTTGCAGAAAGGGCATATGTCACTGGCAAACACAGAGCTGGAGTTTCATGAACTCAATTCAAATGCTTACAGAAAACAACTTTTTTCTTTATCCCTTTTGTTTCTTACTTGTTGCAGCATCTTCATGTAACTGCGTGTTTTGCAAATATAATTTTCAAGTTGACAGTATCCTTCTAGTTTGGAATTCAGGGGGATTTCTAGTATTTAGTTTTGATTCTGTTGGTTCATTCTTTTCATGTGACTGAGATTAATGTGAACACATGAGTACAGGTGAAATAATTTCTTCAGCTGTGGAAATGTCATAGAAGATTGCATCGCTATAACAAAACAGGAAAAAAATCAGAACTGTTACTTAATAACTGTTATTATTACAATGATTTAGTACTAAACTTTGATCTTTAGGTACTTTCTGTCCTAGTCAGTACATTCTATACAAGTTTTGCCAAGTAAACTTTTCCCCTCTGTAACGTTAAGCCCTGACAAATTTGTCATTTAAACAGCTTTTCTAATTGAAACAGATCCTGTGCCTATGAAGTGAATAATAAAATTTCACTTTGCTCTGGCAGAATAAAACATAAACTTGTGAGATGCAAAGTGGTGTGTGGTTTAAAGTTAAGAGCAAAAAGCTGCTGTGTATTTTTCTTACTTGGACAACATACTTCTGAAGTTGTCCCAGGATTTACAGACATGCTTTTACTATTTCTTTTAAGTGTGTTGACCAGCCTTTATGCTTCTATCAGTCAACCTCAAGTAATTCAACTAGAAACAATACATTAACTTGATAAGGACATCTGTTGATGTCAGCTGGTTCTGGCAACATCCTGACCATTTTATGTTAATAACTGTTTTTATCTCCTGTTAATAACTGTTTTTATCTCCTATGCACATATTTAAGTCAATATTTATTAAATCAGTTTTGCAGATCATGACAGGTAGTTTGCTAGTTTGAAACCTTGTCTTGATAATTACATATTGAATTCTTCTTTATATTTAGGATATGATGCTTCAGCTGTTTCGGGGACTGGATTTTCTGCATTCACATCGTGTGGTGCATCGGGACCTGAAACCCCAAAATATCCTTGTAACCAGCAGTGGGCAGATAAAGTTAGCTGACTTTGGCCTTGCACGAATCTACAGTTTTCAGATGGCTCTAACATCAGTGGTAAGTTTTTTGAGGCTTTTATTTTCCGTTTAATGCACCAGTGTACTTTACTCTTTATGTTCCCGGCTTTTTATCCCATATTATAATGCTGCTTCTAAAATTATCTCTGCAACTGAAGTTACTTGTGTCTCTAAACACAGCTGTTTTCCAGAGAGCATTGAAGTTCTGGTGATTACTTTGTACAAGTAATCAATTACTGATTAGTGGTTCTAAATTAAATCATAACTAATTACTGAAGGATAGGGATGTGCTAGTTTTCAGAAATGCTGTGAGTGTAGCTTCTGTCATGATACTGACATCTTTCGCATATTAAACCAGACAGGTAGGGTGAAAGTTTCTGTAGTATCCATTTATTTTAAGATAAAGGTCTTGCTGATCCCCAAGTATCTTGCCTGAAAAAATGTACAGATATACATGAAAATGCCACACTGTCATGCCTCTGATTTTCTACCTCTGTTAATATAGGTTTGATGCTTGCTCCCATATGTTACTGGATGATTTCAAATAGTGCTGTGCTGGAGGCAGCTATTTCCCAAGGCAGTTGTTAAAAGAGCACCTCCAGTATCACTAGGCCCCCTGCCACTGTTGCCCCTCTCCCAGCAGTTCTCCTGGTTGTCCTTGGCTTGTATATGAGCTCACTCCCAGAAGGTCTGGCCCTCTCCTGCCTTAATGCTGGTGCAGAAGCCCTGCCAGCTTCTCGCTTTCTGACACCGTTTTCATGCTTGCTGGCCTTGCCCCCAGTATCAGCTGCTGTTTGCTTGCCACAGCATCTCTGACATGTACTGAAGAGTAGCCATGCTGCATGTGTGTTGGGTGTCATTTGATTTTGCTCTCTCAAGAACTTTTTCATTTCCATTTCCTATTTTGAGTATCATAACTACTGTTGCAGTATCACTTACAGTAAAGACAGAAAAGGGAGAACTGCTGAGAAAAGAAACTGAAAGGAGCCCACTTCGTGTTTTACATTGTCTTGTAGAAATCAGGCTGGCTCACAGTATAAAATCATAGAATGATTTGGGTTGGAAAGGACCTTAAGATCATCTAGTTCCAGCCCCCCCACCATGAGCAGGGCCTCCTCACCCTAGACCTTGGCTCTGTCCCACCTGGCCTTCCATTATTATTAATAGTTACTGTAAGAGTCTTCCCATCATTGTGTGACATAACTGTGACAGCCTAGGTTCTGGCTTCAGTGTGAATGAAATCAGGAAGCAACAGCAAATGATATCATCATCTTACTAAACACAGGAACGTATCATTGTCACGTAAAACATATGCAGACTTGTGTTTTGGGGCTGGTTTTTTTTCATTGCCTGTAGGTTGTAGCCTAATCCAAAGCTGAAAGGTTTTTTTTGCTGAGGTCAGTCAGGGTTGATCATTTTGTAACTCAAAAGAGAGCTTTGAAGAAAATGAGAGAAAAGTTGTTCATGAATTGCTGCAATTTTTCATTTCCCATTTATCACTCTGTAACAGCTTCAGTGAGTGTTTCTCTTGATCCATAAAATTCTTTAAGCTAAATCTCCAGTGTTGTATAGCTTCCAGTGGGGCACTTTTTCAGAAGTTCTGCATAAAATGAAAAAATATCTAAGAACTGAACAGGAGTTTGTCCAGGATCATGTAGCCTGCATAGGAAGGAAGGTCAAAAGACCCAGAAATAGAGGGCATCTACTGAGGCAAAAACATATCAAGACCTGCTTGTAAGAGAGCATTGCCAGAATTCCTCTGCAATTGCTCAAGTATCTAATACTTGCATGCTAGAAATCATGCTTCAGAACCCACTAGTTAGTACCCTTGATGCTGCTGTGAACAAGTTGTTCAGACTAAGGAATTGTCCGCATGCAAGTTTGGACCATGTTCATACAAGCATGCAACTGTCATTGCAGCTATGCTAAAGAGTATTAAAATAATTGAATTATTCTATGACCGATGGCAAATAAATTATATGGGCATAGGCATGAATAATGTCTTTCACACACCTAGAGCTTAGTTTATCATTATTTTATTAAAAGAAAAAAAGAAGAAGCTATGACCATGGCTTTTTTTAATTAAAAATCTACTGGTTTTAAAGCACTTAGTCTTTAACACCTTCAAAATCAACTTTTTTTCTCAGTACACTGAAACCTATAGGCAAGTGTTGCTTACAATGTGATAACATGGTGTCGTTTTAAATGTCAGTCTTCATTGCTCCTACAGGATGAGTGCTGGTTAGAAACTTTTACTAAATGTGTAAATATGTATTAGCTGACACAGGGCACCAGTTTTCCTTTTCTGAATGTAACTTTTACCTTTGCCTAGGTGTGCATTTTTTCCTTCTGTCTCCCCTCCATTAAACTCAGGATACCAAAATTTAAAAACCCCAGAAACTTCAGTTTCTTAAACATATTCTCAATTTTGATGTCCCCGAAATAGTCTAAACTGTAGTTCTTTGCCAGGCAGTGTGCAAGCTTTCATTGACTTCAGCAGGAGCAGTTGAAGTGTATGCAGAAAAAAATGTTTCATTATAAAAGACAGCATATATCTTCCTATGTATCAATTAATAAAAGTCCTAGCTTGCAAGGATTTGCTTCTGAGCTACACTGAAAAGCGATAGTGCAGACAGTCCAGTGATAAAAGGCACATTGCATGTGCTATCATTGTGATCAGTACGAGGGCTCTGCAGCATTTCCTTCAGAAGAGAAGCTTACTGCAAGATAAACTACAAGAATCATCTTTTGAAGTATCAGATCATTCCCAAGATGCACCCTCATTCACTGCTCACAAAGAAACCCTTCAGATGGGACAAAAAGAGCTTGCTGTGAAAATAATGCAGTAAAAACTGATTCAACCCAAGTTCTCTGGTCACTGCAAATGGTAACTTCAAAGCAGTCTCTCTCTGATAGCCATTTATTTCCACAGTGCTAAAGAATCCTTCTGGCAGATCAGTCATCCTGGAATATTGCTGTCATTTAAAGAAACCTCTCAATATTTCTGTCAGTGAATGAATGAAAGATTCAAACTAATGTTACGTGGGCTTGGGGGAGCAGGGTGGAGATCGCTACTCCCAGCCATGGTGAGACTGAGAACTGATACAGGTCTGAAATAACAGCACTAGAAAGAAGGAGGTCAGGCAGGGGTGTCTCAGATGCTGGGTAATGGGGCACGCTTTTGGTTTTGTACAAAGTTAGGCTCTTTTTCAAGTGTTGGTCTTGGCCCTTGGGGAAATTTTGAATAGGCTTTGTGATAACAGAGCAGCTCCATAGGACAAAGGAGGTGGATTGATGTGACTGTAATTTTAGAATTTGGGAGCAAAAGCTAATGAACTGTCACTTTTCTTCCTGATGCAGAAAAATGGGCACTCAGTTCTAACTTTCTATGAGTAAACGAGCAAGTGGCTGTCTGGAAAATCTGAAGTTAGATTGTGAAAAAGCAAGAGCAATAGAAAGAAAAAGCAATAGAAAAATCTATTTTTGTTGACTTCTAACTGCCTTAAAGAAAGGAAATGGAGCTCAATCATGGCACAAGAAAGTGCTAAATGAAATAAACGCACACAGTTGTGATCACAGCATCTAGGTGGATCTGAGGCTGTCCAGCTTTTAAATTGGACCTGCATGAGGATCTGAGTGAAACTGTTAGTGTTTGTCACACACTCATAATACTTTCTTTGAAAACATGTGTGCTTTACCTTAGATGGCAGTGCTGCTGATGGGTTTTTTCCCATGAAATGCAAGCAAAAGTGTTTTATGTCTTCCTTCTTTAAAAAATTCACTTGTTTTCATATTTACTGAAGGGAAAACATCATTTTCTTTGCTGATGGTTTACATTCCAGAGGAACCTCAACATGCTTGTGAGGTGGGCTGATGCCAACCTCATGAAGTTTAACCATGACAAGTGCAAGGTCCTACGCCTGGGTCGGAGCAATCCCAGGCGCAGCTACAGGTTGGGCAGAGAAGAGATTCAGAGCAGCCCTGTGGAGAAGGACTTGGGGGTGTTTTTTGATGAGAAAATGAACATGAGCTGGCAGTGTGCGCTCGCAGCCCAGAAAGCCAACCGTATCCTGGGCTGCATCAAAAGGAGCGTGACCAGCAGGTCAAAGGAGGTGATCCTGCCCCTCTACTCTGCTCTTGTGAGACCTCACCTGGAGTATTGTGTGCAGTTCTGGTGTCCTCAACATAAAAAGGACATGGAACTGTTGGAACAAGTCCAGAGAAGGGCCAAGAGGATGATCAGGGGACTGGAGCACCACCTGTATGAAGACAGGCTGAGAAAGTTGGGGCTGTTCAGCCTGGAGAAAAGAAGGCTGCATGGGGACCTCATAGCAGCCTTCCAGTATCTGAAGGGGGCCTGTAGGGATGCTGAGGAGGGACTCTTCATTAGGGACTGTAGTGACAGGACAAGGGATAACAGGTTAAAACTTAAACAGGGGAAGTTTAGATTGGATATAAGGGAGAAGTTCTTTACTGTGAGGGTGGTGAGGCACTGGAATGGGTCGCCCAGGGAGGTTGTGAATGCTCCATCCCTGGCAGTGTTCAAGGCCAGGTTGGACAAAGCATTGGGTGATATGATTTAGTGTGAGATGTCCCTGTGTATGGCAAGGGGGTTGGAACTAGATGATCTTAAGGTCCTTTCTAACCCTAACTATCCTATGATTCTATGATTGTTGAATAGCTAAACTGATAATTAAAAAAAGACACAAAAAAATCGTGCAGTTGCCATCAGTGAATAATTTTAGATTACACTAGCATTTTATTTGAGTATTTCTTCAGGATAAAATCTTTCCATCCATTTCTGGCAGTCACTTCAGCACAAATGGTTTACATGTCACATCATGCAGGAACTTGGATTTCATTTTGTTGGTATAGTAGCAAGGGAGCATAAAATAATTTTCACTAACTGGGTTTGCTTTGTAAAAATAAACGTATAAATCAGTTACAGCAACAAAAACAGCAACAAAATAATATAGAAATATCCTCTTCCAAAAGGGAACAAGCACTTTCCTGTTTTCTGTCCACTGTTGCATTGTAATT